AATATATGGGTGCTATAGCAAAGTATAGTAAAGAAATGACATGGTGCCCAGCTACCAGAAGGAATCGCCTTTGGAGTCTTACTGACTTGTCACAAGCAGCTATCTAAAAGTGAATTGTCAGCTAAGTCCACGCATAACAAGTACTCCTGTCTGTGTGATCCAAGGATTGTAAATAATCGAATACAAGATCAGAGGAAGGAATTGTATTTGAGTCTAAATTCTGAGCACTCAGTTATAGATCTTTACAGGAGCTAAAAGCCTCATCTTTCTCCCGTTGGCCAATGGAAGCCCTTTTAAAATAATTCCTTTATAGTCAATACTGTAGGCATATTAGAATGTATTCGTGCTTTCTGGCACCAGTTCTGTTTTCTCTTGGCTTCCTAAAATGAAACAGCTGCCTTCCAAAAAGCCCTCATTTTTTCCACCGGATAATGGTTTTAGAGGTCAAACTGTGTAGGATTGATGGGGTTATAAAAAAATAGATTTGTTAGTTAGTAAAATTTTTCCTTGAACTTTTTGAAGCCCTATCATATCTTAAACCAGACCCCTTTTTAACACAGACATATATGATACAAAGAGGCATATTTAACACACTGAAATGTATATTGGAAGTAAAAAAGTTGTTGCTAGTGTTCAAAGTCGTATATGCACATATATTTATTCCTTGATTTTACCTTTTCAGATTTCTTCTTTTTTTCACCCCAAAAAGCATTGAAATGGAACAAAATTTGAGCCCCTCAAGATGCTAAAACAGCTGTTTTAACATGGTATAAATCTAAGAGTGCAGAATTTTGTGGAGAAGACAAGGAGTGATAAAAACACCAGCTTCAGAGAGTGGCTCTAAATGAAGAAACAGTAGCTTCACAGTTGTCTATTTTTGTTACATAAAGGTTTCTAAGATGGCTTGGGCTCAACTGTTAACAGGAGCGCTGCTGTCTCATTCTGTTGTACACAGGATTGCTTTGAGTCGGAACTGACTCCGTGGCACCTAACAGCAACCTTATTTAACAGCAGTGTTTTTTTACTTATCCTCATACAGTCTTTTCTTTCTCATCTTTGCACGAGGACAAATCAACATTTAAATTAAGTTTTATTCAGGTGTTTTGACTCTGAGTTTCTTGTACAGCTATAGGTGCTGTAGGTGTTTTATTCCTTTTTAAGAAGGGATGAGAGGATTTTTAATAGTCACTTAGTCATTTTGGGTTTTGTTGTTTTGTTTTTTCTTCTTAGCCATCCTCGTGGGAGTGAAATAGTATCTCAATGTGGCTTTGATTTATTCCTCTGAAGAGCTTTGGTGGCGTAATGGTTATGTGTTGTAGGGTTAAGATCCACAGGGACAGCAGTTCAAAACTACCCATTGTTCCGCCAGAGGAAGATGGGACTTTCTACTCCCGTTAGGACTCAAAAACTCAGAGGAGCCGTTCTACCTTGTCCTGTAGGGTCATTATGAGTCTTCAACTGGATAGCAGTGAGTTTTGGTTTTGATGGCTAATGACTCTAAGCATCTTGTGAAATGTATGTCTATTCAAGCACTTTGCTTATGTTAAGATTGGGCTGTCTTTTTGTTTAAATTGTTGAAGTTTTATTGTGTGTGTTGTATATATACATATACATATATGTTATTAGAATTCTTGTCAAGTACATGGCTTCAAAGATGTTCTCCCAGTCTGTAACTTGTCTTTTCTTTTGTAAAATGTTTTGATTCATAAAAGACAAAAGTCGAAGTGGGGGGTGAGGGTGGGGACCCACAACCTACCATCAATTGATTCCAAAGTTCCTACTTTTGTCTTTTTACTATTTGTGCTTTTGTTATTAGATAATTCCTCACTGAGAATTAGGCTTGACAGTGTTGCCCCTGTTAGTTCTGCTATTATTTATGGCTTCGGTTCACACATATAGGTCTTTAATTTTTAAATTTGTTTCTATATATGGTATGAGGGAAGGATTCTGTTTCACTTTTCTAGATATAGAAATCCAGTCTTCCCAGCACTATTTATGGAAGAGACTCTTTCACCATTTATTGGGTTTAGCAGCTTGTCAAAAATCAGCTGACCATAAATATATGGGTTTATTTCTGGATCTCAATTCTATTTCATTGGTCTGTGTCTATTATAACATAGTGCCAGGGTATTTTGATTATTCTGGTTATATCAAACCAAAATCAAACTCACTACCATGGAAACAATGCCAACTCATAGTGACCCTATTATCACTCAGGCACTGCCATGGAGTCAATGCTGACTCATAGCACCCCCCTGTGGGTTTCCGAGACTGTTTACTGGAGTAGAAACTCCAGTCTTTTCTCCCACCGAACTGCAGGTGGTTTTGAACTGCCAACCATGCGGATCGTAGCCCAGTGCATAACCACTATGCCACCAGGGCTCCTATAGGACAGAGTAAAACTGCCTCTCTGAGTTTCCAAAACTGTAACTTTAGGGGAATAGAAAGCCTCCTTTCTCCCTTGGAGCTATACAGTATATCTTAAATCAGGATGTTTGAGTCCTCCTAAGTTCTTCTCCTTCAGCATTGTTTTAGCTATTCAGGGCCTCTTACTTTTCATATAAAGATGAAGATTGGCTTTCCTATTTCTTTAACAAAGAGTGTTATAGTTTTGATCAGGATTGCGTTGAATCTACATGTCACTCTGTGTGGTATTGACAATATGTAGTTTTCAGTCCATGAACATGGAGCATCTTTCCATTTATTTTGGTCTTGAATGACTTCCAGCAGAGTTTTATCGTTTCATTGTAAAACTCCTTTATGCTTCTGGTTAGATATATTTCTAGGTATTTTCTTAGCTGCTATTGTAAGAATTGTTTCCCTAGTTTCCCTTTCAGATTTTTCATTGCTGATGTATAGAAACTCATCTGATTTTTGTGGACCTTGTACCCTGCAAATTTGCTGAATTTTTCTATTAGCTTTAAAAGTTTTCTTGGGGACTTTGGGAATACCCAAAGTGTTGGACTGCTGAGCCACAAGAGAGGTGGTTTACACCTACTGGCCGCTTCTGAGGAGAAAGATGAGACTGCACCTGTAAACATTTACAGTCTTAGAAACCTTATATAGGGTCACGATGCATCAGTATTGACTGAGTAACAGTGGGTTTAGGCTTTCCTTAAAGGAATTGTCGTGGCACTGTGGGGTAGTATTGGGCTGCTAACTGGAAGGTCAGTGGTTCGAACTGACCAGCTTCTCAGGAGAAAGATAAGGTTATCTGCTCCCATAAATATTTATAGTTTTGTTCTACTGTGTCGTCCTGTAGGGTCACTATGAGTTGCAATCAACTTGATGGCACTGGGTTTGTTTTTTGTGGTTTTGGTTATTTTACTTATGGTTCAAGTAAATATCTTTGTATTATGCCTGCCTTGATGCTCTGGATTTATTTTTCTGTGAAGTAGGCTATTGTATTTATTTAAAAAAATTATTCGTACAAATTGTTATTACCTCTGTAGCCTCACAATTACTGTTTTGTTGTTTATTATTATTTTGGAAGTGTTGTGGGGACATGTATTAGCCAAACGTCCCTGTGTGGGTAAGTTATGCAGTAAATGAAAATTACATGTGTTTAGAAATTAGTCTTATGGTTGCCCTTTCTTTCTTTTCAGAAATACTGTTGCCATCATGGACCAGTTTGGATACATATCAGAAGGAGAAGTTGATCATTCTTTCTTTGACAGTGACGCTGAAGAAACGAAGAAATGTGAAAGTAACTTAGTGTTTAACAAACAGATTGATCCTAAAGATAGAATAAATAAAGATACAGAAAACATAAACTTGAAAGTTGGACTGCAAACCAAGGAAAGTCATCTTACTGGGAAGGAAAATGGAATAAAAGAGACATTTCCTTCAGAAGGGCACCCTATAGAGAATGATAGTGTACAAGCTAGAAGTTGTTTTCCTTTGATCACATCTTCAAGATCAAAGAAACAGTGTGATGCTCCAATAGGACATAAAATGCACTTGGCCATTCCAAATAGAATTCCCCAGATTGTAAAAGGTGAAGATAATTACTACACAGATGGTGAGGAGAGCAGTGATGATGGGAAAAGACGCCAGGTCAGATCCAAGTCAGTGAACCCAGCTAATAACTTTAAAACAGGAGTAAATAAAAAATACCCCCAAAGTAGTTCCTCTTCCTCTTTGTCCTCCTCGTCTTCAAGTTCAGATACAGATTGTTCATATACAGGGTCTGATGTCTATATATCTGATACTTCTCCATCATTAAAAAAATGTGTTTCTGGTGCCATCTCCTTATCGCCTAAACAGAGACATAATTCAGGAAGAAAATCAAGAGGAACACAGCTTATAAAGGCGAAGCCGAAAGTTGACGACACTGAGGAATCTGAAGATACCGTGACTGACGTGACTCCGCTCTCAACCCCGGACATCAGCCCTATCCAGTCTTTTGAGCTGGCTGCATCAAATGATCAAAAAGTAAAAGTTAAAAGGCAAGAAAATGTGAGTCAAGAAGTTTATGAAAATGGTGAGGATTTAAAGGATAATTCAAGACATTTGAAATCATCCAGAAAAGGGAAAGAAAAGTGTGGGCCCTGTCTTACCTCAACCTCAAAGTCTTCATCGTTGGATTCCAATTTAGACCAAAGATATAAACAGAAAGTCTTACATGACACAATGGACCTAAATCATCTTCTGAAAGGTAACTTTCTTTTTTTAAAAAATTACATTGAATTTAAATATTAAACTTTGTATGTTGTTGTGAAATACCATTGAGTTGGTTCTGGCATAGCACCTCTGTACAACAGAACAAAACATTGCCCAGTACCGTGCCACCCTCACATTTTTCTTACGTTTGAGCCCATTGTTACAGACACTGTGTCAGCCCATCTTGTCAAGGGCCTTCCTCTTTTTTGCTGCAGCTCTATACAAGGTCTGATATCTCTCTGTCTAGTGTCCCTCTCCTAGAACTGGTCTCTCCTGATATACCATGTCCAAAGTACATGATATGACGTCTCGCCATCCTTCTAACAAGCATCTTGGCTGTACTTTTGCAAGACAGATTTGTTTCTTAGCAGTCCATGGTACTTTAGGACATAACTAAATACAGACCTGTTTTCCCCACCCTCCTATCCTGGTGACTTAGTTAAAGCCTTTGATATCCTAGTTGACTTTGGTGCCCTTGATACTGGTCCTGATCTCCAGGCCATTCCTTCATGTAATGGTTATGTCTAAGATATTTTCATAACTTTGCCCCCTGTATGCTTTCATACGTTCATAGTTATATTCAGCAAAGTAAATAAGCATATGCAAATATTCTGTCAAACATATATGTATATTTGTTGGTTTACTTTCATCACTTTCCCACACTTGTTTAGCCTACATGCCTATATCCAAGCATCTACTCTTAGATCTCCACTGTTGCATCATTGTGTATACAACAGTATTTGCTTCAGTTGCCTTTATTTCTTTCACTCCTCCCAATGTCTTCTTTGCCTTCATCATATTTTGCCAACCTCCCTCTTAAGTATATTGCCTTCCCCTTCACAATAAATGCATTAAAAATGTGCTGAAAAACTCAACTTATACGCAAGTATATATGGTACTCTGCATATTTATAAAAATATGGTTATCTTTTTCTTGTTGAGATGTTGAAGTTTTCTACTAATTTTTGAGATTTGTCCCTTGTCTGATCGGTCATAGCCAAAAATGTTTTCCCAGCCTGTGGGTTCTCTTTTACTCTTTTGGTGTTAAGTATTTTATTCTTTGGGTGAAGAGTTTTGTTGCACATACTGTCCAATTTTTAGGAGGTCCCAGTCATCTATCTTCTGCTGTTGGTGTGTTTTTTGTTTTGTTTGGTAGTGTCTTTATGCCCTGTCTTAGGGGCCCCTAAGTTTGTCCCTATTTTTTCATTGACAGTCTTTATAGTTCCATGTTTTCCACTTAAGTCTTTGATCTTTCTTGAGTTTGTTTTTGTATTTGGTATGAGACATGAGTCCGGTTTCATTCTTCTGCAAATAGATAACCAGTTTTGCTAGTATCATTTATCATAAGACTTATCTCTTCTCCATTTAATGTATTTCAGCCCTTTGCTAAAGATCACTTATATCTAGGTAGGTGGAATTACTTCTGGGTCCTCAGTTCTGATCCAGTGGTCTATGTATCTATCGTTGTACCTGTACCAAGCTGTTTTGACTTATGGCTATATAGTAAATTTTGAGACTGGGGAATGAGAAGCCTCTTACTCCGTTTCTTTTTAGTGGTGCTTTCTTATCAGGGTCTCCTCTTTTTCCATGTAAAGTTCGTGGTTAGTTTTTCCATCTCTTTAAAGAATGATGTTGAAATCTGAATTGGGAATGCATTATGTTTATAGATCCCTTTGAGTAGTATTGATATTTGTACAATGTTAAGTCTTCCTATCCATGAGCATGGTATATTCTCTGGTGTTGAATTTTATGGATGGCTTTTGTAAATGATATTGTTATTCTGATTTCCTTTTCAGAACTCTGTAGTTTAAGGAATCTGACTGATTTTTGTAGATTGATCTTGTACCCTGCCACCCTGCTGAATCTTTCTATTAAAAACTCACTTCCATCAAGTCAATTCCAACTCGTATTGACCCAGTAGGACAAAATAGAATCTCCTTTTTGGGTTTTCAAGGCTGTAAATCTTTACAGGAATAGAAACTTTATCTTTGTTCTGTAGAGTGGCTGGTAGGCTTAAATTGTTGATCTTGTTTTGTGTCCTAACCTATGGTCTATTCTGGGGAATGTTCCATATATGCTAGAAAAGAATATATTATTGTAGAGGTATTGAGTGGGGTGCTCTGGGTATCCATGAGATCAAGTTGTTTGTGTTTAGTTCTTCTGGGTCTTTGCTGAATTTCTTTCTTGTTCTGTTCTTCATAAGAAGTGTGTATTAGAGCCTTACACTATTATTGCAGAGTTGTTTATATTTCTCTTCAGTTCTGTAAGAGTTTAAGACTCTTTCATTGGGTGCATGAGTATTTATTATGGTTATTTCCTCTTTTCCAATCGACCATTTAATCATTACTCCTGGCAGAGTAGAGATAGTTGAGCAGAAAATCTTAGATACTCTCAGCTCACTGCCAAGCATTACAGGACCACAAATACCAGACTCACAGATACAGAACTCAATACTTGAAACAGAGTTAAAAGAACAGCTTCAGTGATTTTAGGGAGAATCTTTGTTAGGGTGGGGTGCTTTTCATTAATAAAACTAAGGTATGATTTGCTTTTTTACACCCTCTTTTTACAAGTGTACAGTGTTTTCCCAGGGACTCCATGACAAATGATAACAGAGTGAATGTGGAAGTTGATAAGAGAATCTAGCTGTCTGTTAAATCAGGCATTAAATTACTGTTATTTAAAAGTGTCAGAAACTGAGAGGCAGTTCTACCCTGCCCTTTGGGGGTGCTGTGAGTCAGAATAGACTTTGTGGCAGTGAGCTTCATTTTGAATATGTAAAATAGTATAGGAAGAATGAAAGTGAAAGGCCTTCAAAAAAGATATGCCAAGAAGAAAATTGAAGAATTCAAAATGGAAAATAAAGAAAATGAGAAAGGAGGGAGGTTTTATGTCAATAAAAGGACCAAATATACCCCAGACTTAATAGTTGATTTGAAATGTATGATACAAGCACAAACAAAACTAGATGATGAAATTGTCAAAGCCACAGTCCCTCTCCCCAAAAGAATGTTAACTGCTATGGTCTTGATTTGGCACACAGGTATTTTATCGATCACACAATAGTTATTCTAAATAGTTTTATTGGCATATAATTCACCTCATAAAATTCAATAGTTTAATCATATTAAGACTTCAGCAATCATCACCACTATCAATTTCAGAACATTTTCTTCTTACTCATTATTAACTTCTCAACCTCCCATGCTTTACCTCTAGGTAATTCTTAATCAAGTTACTGTCCCTAGATTTACTTATCCTGGATTTCCTATACAGAAATTCATATAAAACAAAAAAAGCAATGACAAAACAAAACAGAAAAATTCTATTGAAAAGAAACCAGAAGAAAAACAAAGCTGAAACATTAAAGTGGGTCAAAAGGAAGATCATATAATAAGGTGTTACATTTTAACTTAACTATGTCTGCTATTGTTGACTCTACAATGCTCTCTGGTAGCAAGGCTGTTCACATCCCTGGACTATGGTCACAGAGAAATCACTAGAGGCTTCATCCATGAATTGATGCTGCAAATAGATTTTGGGCTTCCACTGTCATCCGTAGCCTCTGTAAACCAGGTGTTAAGAATTTAAGCTCTGATATCTTTTTTTTTTTTT